GCACGCTCTGGAGGGAAACCCGAACCCAAGAACCACAAACACTTGACGCAACCCCGTTTGGTGGGCAGGCCTGTCGGGGCTCGGTGGCGCAGGCGCCCCCCACAAGCACACTCTCAGTATAATGTTTACAGCCCAGCTGTCCGTGTCGGCCGTGCTTTTGAATGCACATTTTTACACTTTTTTTAAAGTATTTTTTACAAAGTTTTTATACAGCGATCTCTATATGGATTTATATAATCACTAGATGTGATCCCATAGAAATGTATGTTATGATGGTCTGTTTGTTACAAACGCATATGCCACAGTTATCTCCATTGTGTTACTTGTCCGGTAGCGTCTGGCTCCTTCCCTGGCGTGCTGGGAAGGGGGTCCAAACCGCCCTCCACAGTGGTGTCGCTACCCTCTCCATCCATGTATGTCCTTCATAATACTCAGTTCTGTATCTCTCAGTAAATGTTACCTTTACATCCGCCGTCCTCCTGTGCTCTGTCCAGGTCAGGCCATGGTGGGCTCTGGCCAGAGCTCGGCACCATGGCAACGTGTGCCAGGTCTGACCATGCCGGGTGCGTTCCTGGCTCAGTGGGATGGTGCAGCTGATCCCAGAGCTGGTTTTGGTGGTTCTCTGTGTTAGCAGCTGTGGGCCAGGGGAATTCACCCTGGGGAAGCTGGGAACCTCGGAGGCAGCTCTGACCGTTGTCAAGCAAGAAGTAGCTCAGTGCTGCACCGAAAAGGGCAGGCAGGGCATGGCTTGTGGGCTGGAAAGGCAGAGGTGTGACACAGCGAGACCATCTCATCCTTACCTGGTCCTTGTTTCAGGCCTGAATACAGCAGCTTGAACTCATTTCAGGGACAAGAAAGAGATGGGGGAGCTGTCACAATGTCCTTGTGGTGGTGACCCCTCATGGAAGGAGGTGGAGAACAGTTCCTTTGGGTCTCTGCCGGGTCCTAGCCTTGCCCCTAACTGACGTGCTAGGAAAGCTCTTAGAGCTTGCCCTGGGCTTCGTCCAGTGCTGAGCGCAGGGGTGTGGAGGTTGAGAAGATAATCAGCCAGGTGTGCTTCAGATGCTAGGACTGAGAGTTAGCATCCCCATATGAATAACCAAGCCCTGCCACTGTTGCTGTGTTCCTGACTCTTAGATACAAAGGCAGTGGGAAGGTGCCTTGGTCTGGACTGGGGCAGACCCCATCTCACATGTGGGCACCACTGAGGGTTGTCTTAGAGGAGCAGTGGTGCACCCAGTCTTCTCCCAGTCAGTGTCCTACCCATTACTGGTGTGGATGAGGCTACTTCGATGCAAACTGCAAGTGAAAGAAGCTTTCAGCATCTGGTACAGATGCACACTCCAGCCAGGAGCACTGAAGTGGTGTTGGGAGAAGATGAGCTTGACCTAAACGTGACAACAGGATGGGAGGAGGTCTTCGCTGAGCACGACTGCTTCTCTAGTGCATGTATCTCTCTGTGTAGGCTCCTTTTCCAACCCTTAACCTCCAGGGATAGCTGACATTAGTCCTTTCCCTGTCTCATACTTTCTTCCTGGATTTCCCCTCCCTTTCCATAACTTCTGTCTTTGGGACCTCCCAAAATGCTGCCAGCTGCCTTATTTAGTGTGAAGCATGTTGGATCTGTTACAGGCAAAGTTTTTGCGCTGGGAGGACTTGTTGGCTGAGGTGCTCTAGAGGGATGTGCAAGGACAGGACCTGAAGCAAAGCTGGTGGAGAAAAGCAGTGTCTGGCCTGGCTCCCACTGCCTGCCGTGCAGCCCTTGAACCTGGGCAGCTGTCCCTCTGCGCTTCCTTCTGCCTAGACCCTGCAGCAGTGGCTCAGACCTGACCCGTTTCTCAGTTGCTGTCAGGAGCCATTCTTCATACTTTGAGGAACAGGATGCCTCTGAGTTCTGCTGAAAGGACGCAGAGCACTTGCTGGGCCTGCTTCTCTCTTCAGGACTCTATTTCCCTCTGCAGAGTGTACGTGGTAATGAATTTCCAGGCTCCTGCAAGTATCCGTTTCCTCTCTGGTGGTCAGCGGGAGCTCCCCGTGGGACATCAGATGGTCCAGCCACAGGCATCTCGTGCTTTTTGCTCACCTGGAGAGACTGTGCGCTCATCTCCGCGTGGGGGGACTCTCACCCACCTGCCACGCACCTTCCAGCAGCAGTGGAAGTGGCAGTGGCTCGGGTGCAGGCGATGGCCCTTCCACAGCAAATGGACACACTGCAGTAAAACTTCCTGCTATGAAAACAGCTGGCTTGAAAGAGAAATATAAGGTGCCCTTTGAAACCAAGCACACTAGAAGCAGCTAGCAAAGGCAGCAGCAGCGGAGTGATGGATCTACACCAGTTTAACGCTCAGCTACTCCAGCCAAGGCTCAGGCAGGAACTATCTGTGAGCCCTGGCAGTGCCCAGACAGGTTTTTGCCCAGTCTCCTGTATATCCTCCAAACAGCCTTTTGCTGCATTCCAAGTCAGTACAAGGGGTCTGCCACTCAGGTTAGGGCATTTCTTTTCAGGGGACTCGGTTAGGCTATGACCCAATGAAGTTAAAGCAGAGAGTTTGGGCCTCTGCCCCATCAGCCACAGCCTGTGAGTGTTGAATGGAAAAGGCTCCATCTCTGTGCAGCCCTAGGCTGAAAACCACTCCTGGTCCCTGTAGAAGACGGGCTATTTGATGTTCCTGACTCTGGTAGCACGTGTCCTCCCCCTTAGCAGAGGTACAAATATTGCCATGGGACAGGCGGTCCCACTGTACACCTTTCAGGCTGGTGCATTATAGTGGCATCTCCTGGGCATGGGCAGGAGCAGCAGGCACGTGCCAGGCACAGCCCATGTTGCTCCATGCCAGAACGGTGCTCCGAAACCCAAAGAGCAATGGTTGTACCTGTGGCAACGTCCTCCCACCTGGGTGCCCTTCATGGAAGGGCTGGTAATGCAGATTTGCTTGGAAAACACGAGGGACGCTTCTCAAAGGTCAGGCAGCCACCTCCTGGCAGTCCCACACCCACGCATCCTGTGCTGGGTGCACTGTGAGCCACGACGAGAGCAGAGCTGATGGTATCATGGACTTCTGGGACAGGGCTTGGTGCCAGTGGTGCTGGAGCCGATAGCCTGGTAGATGTGAAGCTGCTGCCAGCCCCATGTCCCCCCGGTCCAGCCAGTCATCAGGCTGAACACCTAGTCCTGATGAGTGCGCGCACACACACACACACACACACACACAGAGAGGCACACGGAGACACACCTGTGGACGCCTCCAGTAGCTGGTTTTAGATGGTCTCTGCAGTTGCTGGCACCGGGCACAGGAGCCCTGGAGGAGCACACAGCCCCACTGCAGCTGCTGGCACGCAGACCTCTTGCCTTACTCTCTGGCTAGTCCAGCCTGAAGTTCACTTGTGCTCAAATAAACCTGCACACGAGATGGTTGGAAATAGGTTTTCATGAGACCATTGGTAGGCTGCTGCAGTGTTCACGTACTGGGGACCAGAGAAGCGCACAGAGCAGCCACCTGCGGCCGACCTCTCCCCTCCCTCTTCCCGCTGCTCTCCCGCGCCCGTCCCTCTCGGAGCCACCGTGGCCTCACCATTTCCCGCTTGCGTGCATCCCCTTAAACCACCCCACGGTC